CCAATAAACGTAATATTTGTTACAGCTAGAAAGCACAGTCAACTCTTTCTATAACGAACTGAAGATTTTGGAAGAAAGTAATAGCGATAATGTATATGATCAAACTTTTTATCGAAAATGAATACAGCGAAAGCTCTCCGTTTAAAAAGTAAAATAAATTGGACGTCTAACCAATTCCTCTTTCACCCTCGAAGGAATCGCACATCTATTTACGATTTAAACGCTTTGACAGCATTAGAACATTATATGCAAAAAACATTGTCCGACATAACAATTAAACATACACCAACAAAAGTAGTATTTCAGCAATATTATTATACTAATGCAATACAAGCACAACGACGTGGACTCGAAGATACTGCTAATGGATCCACGAAAGAAGATATTGAAATATTTAATCCCACAGCATTAAATAAACTTAAAGAACGTTTATCTAAATTATACAACAAAGAAGTCGAATTTACTTTAATTAAACAACATTATCCATACCTTAATAGCAAGATATTGGCCCAATACATCGCTGTAAACGCATCGCGTTATAGGTTTAGACAAATTCGGCGTTCACTTTTCAAAAAAATTCCATTGGTTGGTGGCAATCCACAACAAAATAATCTTAATGCTACTTCTGCGCTTAAGTGGATCCAATTATCACGTTTAGGCCAACAAATTCTACCGACTCATCTTTCTGGCGTGAAAATACAAATATCTGGTAGAATGAGTCTTCGTAAAGGTTCTGCTAGAACTAGTGTAATCAACAAATCTATAGGTAGTTTTAGATTTCATTCTTTAAAGAATACTATGATTGATTATGCAAAGGTTGAACGTAAAAATCAAAATGGGGCTTATTGTGTTAAAGTTTGGCTCAGTTCTTCAGTAGTTACATAGATTTATTATGCAATTTTGATTGTTATATACATTTAATCGTAAAGTATCATTTATTCAAAACAAAGTTTCAATATTATTATTTTCATCTTTCATTACTTGGTATTTTTGTATAGATAGTTTTGATATAATTTTCCGTTTACCAAAAATTATCGGCATTCTGCTTCGATATTGTGATTGTAAACGATTCAACCCATTTTAATTGTAAAAAATGGCAAAATCATAAAACCCTAATTTTTTTCCCATCCTCGAATCTCCGGTACAGCCACGTTCTTTCCCTTGTAATTTATGATTCCTCGAATGGGATGACTTGGAATCATTGCCACAGGTTTAGCCGATGGATTCCCAGACAAAGCGTTTTGTTGCACCTTATTTCCTTCTAGCGGTCGAATACGACCTTCGCACAATGGA